GTCATACATGATGAATAGTTGTTCAGAGTTATTCTTCCTCCTCTGACAGATACTTAAAGTCTCTCTCTTTAAAAATAAGTTAATACTTGTGTAGCTTGTCAAGACAATGAAATCTCAGGCTATACAGTATTTCCTCATTTAACACTATAGATATGTTTCAGAAAATGACTGTGTTAAGTGAAAACATGTTATGGGGGTCAATTTTCCCATTGAAAATAATGGACAAGGTGGGGGTTGCGTTTCAAGCGGTGGTATCTGTTGGGACTGGGACATAAGATTGGGGGAGAAAGGGGACTGGGTTACAGCATGGAGGGGAGGTGTTTGGCTCTGGGGGAGGGAAGGGCAGGAGAGGAGAGGGGAAGGGGATTGGGTTGGGAGTATGCCCATGTGACGGGACTTGCACCGTGTCTAGCGAGGGAGGGTCGCTGGGGAACGGCGTGGTGAGTGGCGACCCCTCCACCACTTTGCAGGGAGGCGGGGGAAGCCCCGTGCAGCTGCCGGCAATGGGCCGGCTGGGGAAATTGTGTTATTCCGGGGAGGGTCGGGTAATTAAAAAATTCCCTAAAAGAAAAAATCATGCTATCGTGAAAACTTGTTAAGCGGGCATGTGTTAAATGAGAAATTACTGTACTACAGACCGTTGCTGGGATGGCTGTCAGCGGTGGGTTTTGTGACAAATATAGTTTTCCCAGCAAAAGCCCCTTGGCAGGGACAGTAATACTGACAATAGTTTTTTTCATTTGGGTGGTAGAATAAAGCTATATCAGCATAAGCATAGTTTTGCGAGTATAAATTGCAAATACGTGATGCAAGGAGTGATTTCCTCTGGCAGGAGCTGCTCCGGCCAGCTGGGCCCTCCGATTAACCGGTTACCTGGTAAGCATGCCGGTAAGGCTGAGGCTTATCGGGTGACTGTTGAACATTGACATCCTCACTAGCTATATTGGTAAAGCCTTTGAAGTATAGACCTAGACTTCATGGAAAGTATCAATATCAATTCAGTAATTTGCACATGATGTCTTACATTGTTTATTATGTGCCTTCTGGTAAATGCCTGCACTTAGGTACCAGCCATCTGCAAAATCCTTTCCTTGGGAGCTTATTATAGAAGAAGATGAGCAAAAGATGAAAGGGCGGGACCAGATGAGCAGCAATGTGTAAGCTTTTCTTGCTCATCAACAGAAATTGGCCCATCTTCTCTTTTAATGCTGTGGGACCAGCACAGTTACAATAATACTGCATACAAGATGTTGACTTATTATTTTGTAGTAGCAAATGCAGCAGAGTAGCCTGAAGCTAAAAACTTGAATTAAATTGAAAATACAGAAAGTTTAAACGCTAATATAATGTACATTTTGAAACATAGAAGAGTAGGGAGAATGGATGAAATAGTGAGTGAGGGGAAAAAACAGATGGGTATTTCAAGAAATTTTATTTTCCTATTATTCCTTTCTCCACAAAGTTTATTAAACACATTGAATAGCTTTATTCTGCTGATTGCTTTTAAGTTATGCATGTTATCATACAAAACTTAATGACTACATATTGGTCTTCAGTAGGTTCTGTGTAGGGATCAGAAATCCAACTTATTTATTCAAAAAGAAAAACTTGCACAAAATACAGTTTAATAACATTAATCTTTCTGCAGTCCATTTAATATTGTCATTTATTTTGGATGACATGAGATGAAAACCAGTCTTTTTGTGGATAAGTATTTTGTGTATAGTATTATAAATAAGTGCCCAAAAGACCAAATCTAGATTGGGGCACCATGATGCTGGATGCTGAACAACTACTGTGGGAAAAAAATAATTTTTACTCTGAAATGTCAGAAGATAAAATAAAGAATAGGGCTGGTGTTACAATACGATGGGTTTAATTACAGAAGTAGGAAATGCAAATGAATCTGGTGAAGAATTGGTGCCACTTTCTTAGATACTGTCATAGACCCTAGTGAACACTATATGCTGGTCACCCACTAGGACTGCTGTTAAAGGAATGCGTGTCTGTGCGCTTTGGATTTTCCGGGGTGTATTAAACGTCCATTTTCCAGAACCTCAGCAGACTGCATCACCCATTCATCTGCTGGTGTAAGTAGCGAGGAGTCCTGTAGCACCTGTGGTGTAAGTACTTATCCATGTAAGACTAAATGATTTCCCAAAGTGTTTCAAAATGACCTGATCTAAGCTCGTTAACTTTACACCCAAAACCTGACTGTCTGTAGTAGCACTTAAACCTACGATTAAAAACAGCGCAGCTTCTCCTCTACAGAACGTACTAGGACTTTCCATGCTGGTAAAATGGAACATGTAACTTATTGATGGTAGCAGAATCAGAAAATGTGTGATTCCTGTCAATACTACATCTTTCACCATGTCCTGTTAGGTTGCTTTTACCACTATGTATGTTGTCAGACCAAGTCCTGCCTATACAGGCAGTCCCCGGGTTACATGCAAGATAGGGACTGTAAGTTTGTTCTTAAGTTGAATCTGTATGTAAGTCGGAATTGGCGTCAGCCGCTGCTGAAACTGATCAGTTTCAACCGCGGCTGAATCTGGACGCCAGTTCTGACTTACATACAGATTCAACTTAAGAAACCCAGGCGTCCCCAAGTCAGCTGCTGCTGAAACTGATGAGCGGCTGATTCCAGGAAGCCTGGGGCAGAGCAACTCTGCCTTGGGCTTCCTGTAGTCAGCCGCTG